GGCCCCCCGGGCCCCTCCCCCGGGCCCCTGCTGCCTGCCCAGCCCAGCCAGGCCTGGCCACTCTGGGCGTGGCCTGCTCACCCCACACTCTGCTGCACCCTCACGCCCCAGCGAGGACGCCCTTCAGGCGACTCACTCCTGCCTCTGCCCAGATGAAAGCCCTCAGGGGGCTCCCCTTTGGGTGGCTCAGGACCCTCCCCATGGCCTCCAGGGTCTTGGAGGTGGAGCCCCCTGCCTCTCCCCAGCCTCACCTGTCACAGCCCAGGGCCCCCTGGCTCCCACCTCTCCTGCAGGTCAGGGCGCATGCTCCCTGGGCCCCCCTGGCCAGCCTCTCGCTTCCATGGAGAGCTTGGTGAGCGGGCTCCTGGGGTCGCCCTGCCCAACAGCGGGTGGTGGGGGCTCCTCAGGCCCCTGCAGAGCTCCCTTGTGGGTCTCGGGCTCAGGGAAACTCTGAGCATGGAGCCCACTGAGGCCTGAGCTAGAGATGCCCTGCAGGGCCTCGGCCACCTTGGACCTGTCCGGCCCTGAGTCACAGGATGGGAAGGGCTTGCGAGGTCACTAGTCGGGGAGCGGGGGGGCGGCATTGCTGGCCCAGATCCAAGGTTAGCTGGCCCCTTGCAGCCTGTCCCCCACCACACCCACGATTCACAGAGTCTGTGTGCACACGATGACCTGTTCTCAGAAACCAGGTCCACATCCTTCCAGCGACACCCCACCTGTTCACACCCCGTCCCCTGGGCTGACCCTGGGCCTGCTGGTCAGAGAGGTCACCTTCCCACCATGTCAGTCAGATCCTCCCGGAAGGAGGTGAGTTAGTCAGTTAGTCAGTCAGTTAGTCAGTTAATCAGTTAGTTAGTTTTAAACGAGGCAGCCTGGGCAGCCAGGTGGCCCTTATTTCCGTGGCGACTCTCCTGGGGGCGGCACCGACCACCTGACTTCCTACCTGGACAGATGGGAGAGGCTCAGGTGTGCTCACCCCCAGAGGCCACATGAGGGGGCCGAGCCCTAGGAATCGGGCTGCTGGGATTTATTGTCGTTTTTAATGAGATGAAGATGAGCCTGGCAGGTGAGTCATGCCCGCCCCTGGGAGGGTCACCTTTGGGTTGCAGGTCACAGCCCTACCTTCCCTGTGGTTGGCCACGGCCAGGAAGTGCTCCCCAGCCACCTCGAAGGCCTCCCAGTCCCGGGCGCTGTGCGTGGCCACCCTCTGGTAGGGCGTGAACCGCAGCTTTCTCGGGCTCCATTTGTAGATGACGGAGAACTCCTGGCCCTTTTCGTTGGGGTCAAAGTTGGCCACAGCCAGGAAGATCTGCAAGAGAGGACGGGGACACTCGGCTCCCTGCCCGCAGCCAGGGTCTGTGCAGGCTTCCCAAGAGCCGTGTCTGTCCGCATGGGCAGGCGTTTGACTGCTCACTGTTCTACCCACAGTGGGTGGGTCGGGGTAGGGCCAGGGCTGTACCCAGCACGTGTGTAGGTGCAGGGATGGAGCTGAGCCCACCCTCTGTTACTGATGGCCTCGGCGGCCTGGGAGCCTGACTGTCTCCAGACCCGTTCATTACGTTTAAAACCCTTAAATGTGCCATATGCCCCAGTCCATTACTGCCATGTCTACCTCCCAACCCCAGGAAAAGCTTCATCACAAAAGTGTTCCTCATCACCCACTGGAGTAGGAAAGGTTTTAATGCCCTACTCCCACCTCCCACTCCCCCCACCTCCAGAAAGTGGTGTTTGCCACGAAGCCAAATAGGACACAGAAACCCCCTACGCATGACGTGACCAGCGGGCATGATCACATGCTTATGTGGCTCTAACGGGGGCCAGGAGCTTGGCCTGTCGGGCATGCGCTCTGGAACTAGGAGCCAGAATGCCCAGGTAAGTCCTGCATCTGCTTAGGCAACCGGACAGATGATTTCCCCCTTGTTTTTCCAAATTTTCCTATTTTTATTTTATGTAAAGTTATTATCCTATATAATAAAAGGGTAATATGCAAATAGACCAAATGGCAGAACAACTGAACAACCAATCGAAGTGTAATATGCTAATGATATGCTAAAGTTGCTCAACCACTCACTATGACATGCACTGACCACCAGGGGGCAGATGCTCCAACCAGTAGGTTAGCTTGCTGCTGGGATCTGGTTGATTGGAACTGAGCAAGATAGGCTGGCTTGCCCTGGAGCCCTCCCACAGTCCCTCCCTGGCCCAATCGTGCACCGGTGGGGTCCCTCAGCCTGGCCTGTGCCCTCTTGCAATCCAGGACCCCTTGGGGGATGTCAGAGAGCCGGCTTCAGTCTGATCCTACAGGCCACTCCCTTTGGGAGAGTGCCAGATGCAGGGCTCATGGCTGGCAAGCACTGCTGCAGCAGAGTGAGTCTCTCCGGATAGGGACTGACTGGATGCGAGCCTGCGGCAGGCACTGTGGGACCGGGATGAGTGGGAGCAGCAGGTAGGAGCTGCAGGCGGTATTGGACTGTGTGTTTCAGCCCGATCCCTGCAGGCTACCCAGAGAGACCCCACAGTGCATGAATTTGTGCACCGGGCCTCTAGTTTTTGATAATTAAAACATAAGCACCTTTAAAATATCATCAACCAAATAACCAGAGAGCAAGTCATTCATTCACCATGTTGGATCGGGCTCAAGAACCATGGCGGGCTGCCAGCCACAGGGGGGCAGGGGCTTGTCTGCTTGCTCACTGCTCTACCCCCAGTGGGTGGGTCCAGGTGGGGGCAGGGCTGTACCTGGCATGCGTGTTGGGGGGAAAAGGCAGGATTGGGCGGGCGGATATGTTGCATTCTCTCATGGCTTCTGCCTTGTTGACGGGTCCAGGTTAAATGACCTCCACAGGTTTCTAAGTTAGTAATGAGGGTCTGCACAGACCTGGGCGGCATCTTAGCAATGGCCTTTCCTGGTGTGTCGGAAGCTGAGCAGACTTTCTCAGGCCCCATCTGGGTGTAGAGACGCAGCCAGGTGTCTGACCGGGAAGCTGTCTGGAACCCGACAAAGGCTTTGGAGCCTCGAGAAACACGTTTTCCTGGAGAAGCCATGTCAGGAGCCCAACCCCCGGACTCTGCAACTTTAAAAGGACGAGAGAGTCACGAACGCAGACTCGCCTTTTTCCCGATGGTGAAGTGCCTCCAGGACTGCGCTTGGTGTGTGCGGATACTCTGGTACGAGGCGAACTTCCCGTCGGTCCACTTGTAGATGGCGGACGTGGCCTTCCGGTTGGCGGTTGCTATGAAGAGCCCGGCCTCGGGGATGACAAAGACCTCGATGCCCAGTGTCTCCGAGTGCGTGAAGAGGCGCTGGTGCTCCTCCACGTAGTCCAGCCTCTCTTTGGCTTGTGAGAGAGACATGGAGACGCGGTTAATGGTCAACGTTTCCCAGCACGGAAGCCTGGAGGCACCCTCCTGGGAGCAGCACCCCAGGCCCTGAGCTGTGACCCCGGGGCATTAGCGTGGGGCACGGGCAGTTTGCTCAGAGCGCCTGTTCACCGCCAGAGGCCTGCCAAGAAGCCCACTCGGCTTGTGTGGGTTTCAGGGTCCGGCGAGCCCGCAGTGGTACTCACTGGGGGGGCCCGATGTGTTGGGTCCTTATGGGACATCTCCCAGGCTCACTGCGGCTACAAAAGGCTGTCCCCTAAGGTGACCCAGAGGGTGGAGCCAGGACTCGAGAGCAGTCCAGCTGGAGCTGGTCCCCTTTTGAGGACACCCAGGGCTACCTCACTCCCCTTCCCACACCAGGAATGGAGCTCTGGACGGCTTGCTCAGTGGTTAGAGCATCAGCCCGTGGACCGAAGGGTCTCAGGTTCTATTCCCAGTCAAGGGCACATACCTTGGTTGCAGGCTCTGTCCCTGCCCTGGTCTGGGTGTGAATGGGAGGCAACCCGTTGATGTGTCTCTCACATGGATGTTTCTCTCTCTCCTTCCCCATGTCCCTCATTCCCCTCCACTCTCTAAAAAAGTCAGTGGAAAAAATATCCTTGTGTGAGAATTAAAAAAAAGAAAGGAACGGATAGCCGCAAGGCTTGCTGCAGCAATAATGCCCTCGGGTCCAGGCAGGGTGCGAGGAGGGAGAGCAGGCAGGGCCCCTCCGAGGGAAGCTGGCTCCAGGGAGCCCTGAGCTCTTCCCTGGACAGGGATAAGAGGAGGTGACGAGCCCTGCCAGCCTGTGTGCCCAGGAGGGCGCATGGTTCCAGAGGAAACATGGGGGCTTGCTGCTCTGAGTGGGGGTGCCTCCTTTTCTCAGGTAACGCTGACTCTGAGCAGAGCCCCTAAGTCTCCAGAGCCCCAGGAACCATGACCCCCCCCTACCGCCCCCCCCCGTCACCTCACCTGCCAGCACGGAGACCCACTCGCTGCCCACGCACAGGTACAGCCCCCTCTGCCCGGCGTCAAACCAGAACTGGGCATCCTCCACTTTGGTGCACGGAGGCCGGGATCCCAGCGTCACCTTCATGTCGGTTTCTGGGGGAGACAGGAAGTGTCCGGTGAGTGTCCAGTGGAAACGCACTCCCTGGAGGAGGCGGTCCTGCCTTTGTCCCTGAAGCTGGGCTTCCAGGACCCACTCAGGGTCTCAAACGGGTCCCAGGAGGCAGGGACCCAGGGTGTGTGGCCCGCCCCAGGGCGTCTGCGTGGCAGGACGGGCAAAGCTCCCTGTAGCTCCAGAGTATGTCCACCGCCCGCTGGACCTCCTGCTCTTCTGGAATCCTCGTGACTACGGTGCGCCTTCTCACCTCCCACATCTGTGACCAATGGGCATGAGTTTTTCTGAACTTCCCTTTTGCTTAGTTCGGTGGCATTTTGAGCCCATCGCTTCTTGGAATTACGCCTCCATCTCAGGTCAAACACACACGTCCTAATGACGCTACTCGGCCACTTCAGAGTGATATCTGCCCTGTGGCCCAGGCCCGAGGCCCGGCTGTGACACTGAGCACGCCCTTGACCCTGCAGCGTGGGGCCGAGGCCTGGGGGCCGAGTCCTGCCCCCTGAGAACCCCTGTGGTTACAGCGGTCCATGTCGCCTGAGGAAGATGCCCAGAAGCCTCCTGCCCAGGGGCTTGAAAACACAGGTACAGGACTGGCTCTCAGCGTCACCCGCTCAAGGTCGGGGGTGTGCCCAGTGAAGCTGGGAGAGGGCCAGGTTGTCCTCCTCACAGAGCAGGTTGCCGAATAGTGGGGGGTTAGGTGGATGGCTGAGGGGGTTGGATTCTCCCTGGCAGGGGCTATGGTTTACATAAATTGTCAATAGACCTGCCACCATGGCTCAGTGGCTGAGCATCGACCTATGAACCAGGAGGTCACGGTGCGATTCCCGGTCAGGCCACATGCTTGGGTTGCGGGCTAGATCCCCAGTGTAGGGCGTTCAGGAGGCAGCCAATCAATGATTCTCTCTCATCATTGATGTTTCTATCTCTCTCCCCCTCTCCCTTCCTCTCTCTTAAATCAATAAAAACATATTTTTTTTAAATAATAAATAAACAGTCACCATTGTACCTTCAGATTGGGAAGGTGCAAACAGAAACTAAAAAAGCAGAGCTGGGGACCCTCTGGGCAGGGGGTTCACGGAAAATAGAAATGTATCCTGCGAAGGTGGGTCCCCGACCGGGGCAGGGGCTGAGGTGTGGTGTCTCTCGGGGAGGGATGAGGAGAAAGGGCCCCCAATGTTGCTCTGGGGACAAAGCAGGCAGCAGGTGGAAGTGGAGGCTCAGACTCGGAGTGGGAGCAGGTGGCCTGGCTTACTAACCATAGGGATATTTTAGCACCTCATTATCCTCCGGCTTCCCCGTGAGACCCTGCAGGATTGGGGGGATGGACAGCACGAGCTCCGCATTCCTG